ACATTTTACACACTAAGAGATATCTTGTTGCCCTAAGCACCTGACTTTAATGTCTTGGAATGCACATTTTCCGTACTATATTAAATAATGTCGTAAATCATCCGTTATAATTTACTTATTTAATGAATTAGCATATAAGAGCAGCCTCATCAACTGAGGTGCTTGAATGTTTGCTGCCAGCCTGCAATGGCGTAAACATCTTCAAAAGCATCTAAAAGCAGTGACTGTCTTACTAAAAGTATTCCTCTGTTGACGAGAAGTAGGTCATATTGGGATAAAAGGTCTTGTTCCGCAGATTCAACCCATTCGTCCCATTTGTGTCGTCCACCAGCTGTTCGTAGACGGTGATGCAGTGCTCGGTGTTCCACCAGTTGTCGCAGCTGTCCCACGGCAACCGCGTTCGCATGGAATCGAACATGTAGAAGAATGCCCAGGCGATGATGGTGTTGTAGTACCAGGCTGTGAAGCTAGCAATGATGCATATCCCAAATCCGATACCTGCAAAGAAATGGATGGCGTTGATGTTTGAATGTGCATGCTTTTTCACCTAGTTTTTTACCAGCGTTTGGTGATTGCAGGCAGGTAAACTTAGCTGTGCAGGTTAATTGAAACCTCTGCGAGAATAACAATTCAACCGGCATATCATGCTGTTACCTTTTATTAACATTAAGAGCATTGAGAGCAGTTTCACAACAGTCTACGAAAGCCTGATCTGTATGACAACCTGAAATTCAGTGGACTTTCTCATTTTTGTGTCCTTATCAGAATATCATTTGCTACCTTTAAAAGCATATCAGAAGGAGACGGTTAAACAGTTTCATCTGCTCGTGAGTTGCTGAGTTAATGCACTGAGGTCGTTCTCGTTCATATGAGAGCACAGACGGAAGAGGATGCATACGGTAAAATATAAAGGGACAAGCCAATATATTGTTAGGGAGGTTTGACACATTTGCTTAATTTAATTGACCCAATTGTGAAAAAACTCGTGGACTGGGCTGGAATCGAACTCACACAACGGGGAAGGCTTTTGCGCAGCCATCGCTCCACCACTGAGCTACGAGGCACGCCGTGCGCCGCGAGTTTTTTCACATTTTGATCAACTAAAAAGGCCAGTGTATGCTGATCCTTTGTATTTTTCTATTGCTTTTCATTTCTTTATCGCTTTCGTGCGCGTCCATTCCATAAACGCCGTCATATCTCACCTTATTTGAGTGATTTACATATAGCCATTATTGGAAATTTGAGTGCTCAGTGAAAATCAGTTATGTTTGTGCTATTAAATAGTAATTTTTAAGCCAACTCAGGCCTTTTTTAGAATGGTTGTTTCCTTATTACTTTAAGATTACGGAAGAGGCATTGCGAGCTGGTTTTGCGTAAGGAGACATTTCTTGTGAAATTCATGAGATTTTTGTAGTAAGCCAATATACTATAAATGCTGCGCAAGTTTCCTTCATTCTTCTAGGATTTAGTGGCCTCCAGCACCTGGAACGGGAGATCGACTGTCAACTGTAAAACAAAGTGAACACTCAGTAGGCTGGGCAGTTGGACAAGAGACGACCAAACCTGCACTGAAATTAAGGGTCATTCTACAGTGGTTACTTCTTACTTCAATTTTTTCGATTGGCGCCATTAAAATAATTTTGGATATAACAGAAATGCATTCAAGTTAGGTGAACGAACGTTTTTAGATTAAATCATCACCAGGCGAGTAAAATACTAAAGGAGAGGATAGATTTAAAGAAAGTTTTAGCAACCAATCAGTAGTAATTAGGAGGAAAGGGGGAGAGAGTTGGTAAGCAATCAAAGGAGTCACGTTCTAGTCAAGAACTTACCAGAAAACAGTGGACAGATGCGACTCCAAACGGTAATGCATCCGCTTCTTTGAAACTGACCCAGGGCGAGTTCGAGGTAAAATAATGGAAGCCCACCGAAGATATACATGATCAGATAAGGAATAAGGAAGGCACCTAGGCAGAGGTAGAAGAAAACAAAGGAATACTCACTCATTTATCGCACCTCAAAACGCACATATAGCTGACGCTAAGGTCAAAAATGGGCTTCTGAACTAGTAACTAAGTTTGTTTTAACATATTAATACTAAGCACCATAAAGCTAGTTACAGAACGTACTCCAAAACCAAAAAATTACATAAAGGACGTTCTGAAATTGAAATTCGGGAACGCAGTCCCAGACCACTATAACCTTTCCTGCTTTGTGTGCATTCATTTAACAAGGGGTGGCAAATCTTCATCTGTTTTGTGTGTTTTTTTTAAATTTTATTTTGCGACCATAAAGAGCCACAGAATAATATTTTTATATATCTGGT